GGGTGCTCATGATCTAAGAATGATCAGAATGGAACTGGACAATTGCTTGTCGGTTGCCGGAGGTGTATGGTGGGAAGATGATGATCTACATCTGGCTCACTATGATATCCATGTTCCGTAATATGTTAATTGGTCCTTAATATGAGTATGATTATGTGTTTAGCATGATTTTGTGTGCCATTATGTAAAAATATGTGGTTTTGAATTTCTATTTGTTCACCGTAGGAATATCTGTTTGATTATTTGCTTTGGAATTTAAATTGAAGGCCTTATCGGCCAGAGAAACCGAAATTGACTGCGCCATTATGATTGGTGTAATTTTTAGAGCCTACGGTGAAATTTAATTGGAAATTGATTCGGATCAGATTAAATTGATTTAATTAAGGAATTAGTGCTCAATTATTTAATATAGATAAATTGATTTAGTGGGACTTATACAAAAAGGGCAATACACATTCAATTCCTCTCTTTGTTCATCTTTTGGCTAAATTAGCTCTCTAGAGGGAGAGAGTCCCGAAATTAGAGAGAGAGAGAGGGGAGAAAATCTATGTTTTGGTCTTGAAGCTTGGAAGTCTTGAAGTTAAACTCAAGAATTAACCGTAGAGTGGGAAGATTGGGCTTCTAGGTAAGCAATTGGTTTTGAATTCATGAGTTAATGTGTAATTTGGTGTATTCAAAGTTGATTAATGATCAAGAGTAAGAATTGAAATGAAATTGAGTTGATTATGTTGAATTGAAGGTCAATGTATGCATGCATGTGTGTAATTGCTTTGAAATTTGCATGTTTGAGCACAAATGGATAATCCGTGTGAGATTTTAATTAAAGCTCATGCTTTTGACCATCTCTTCATTATCTAAGTTGGGAATAAGAGTTGTATTCCACATGCATGTACAATTCATGAGAATATGAGTTTGAAATACATGGAATTGTTATGATGGAAACAAGTTTGGTGTAATTTGGAACATGCATGTAAGTAATTCATGGAATTGAGCTTCATAATGTTGTAATTTGGTGTTTGTACCATGTTAGTACATGCATATGTGAAGTTTGAGTCATAATATGCAAGATATGTTGATTTGAATACAAGTTTGAAGCTCAAGAACAGTTCTGGAATTTCTAGAGTTTGGCATGTTCGCTCGAGCGGGGAAAGCGCCGCTCGAGCGGGAAATTCGGGCTCTCAGTATTTTTGCAGACATGGATGTCCGCTCGAGCGGGGAGCTATGTAGAATGGCCTTCAACTCGAGCGTCCAAGTTCACGCTCGAGCGTAAAAACGAGGCAACCAACACTTTTGCAGACCTAATGAGTCCGCTCGAGCGGAAAAGTCCACGCTTGAGCAGGGACCCCTGTTTTAGAAATTTTGGACACATGTTCTGTGTTTCATTTTCTGTTCTCCTTCACTTCTAAGTACTCTTAGGCATGCATTGAGCATTATGAATGAATTAAAAGGATAATAAAGCAGACTAAAGAGGAATATGTGAATTAAAGACGGATTGAATTGTTTGTGACCCATTGTGTTCATGGAATGTGTAGGGTCGAGCTCCAGGGCAAATCATCCAGTCGATCACTGTAAGTAATATCTTAATAAAGATATCTGAAATATGCTATTTGTCCAATTGCTTATAAGTCTGTTAATTTGAATTGTGGACAAATGTTTACTATGCCGAAAGAATGAATGGATGATTGGGCCAAAGGACAGTTTGACACGACTGAATGATTGGGCCAAAGGCCAGTTTGACATGAATGAACGAATGGGCCAAAGGCCAGTTTGACATGAAAGTATAAATGGGCCAAAGGCCAATTTGATATGAATGAAAGTATGAATGGGCTAAAGGTCAGTTTGACATGAATGAAAGAATGGTTGGGCCAAAGGCTAGTCTGACATAGACGAAAGAATGGATGGGCCAAAGGCTAGTCCGGCATGAATGAAAAATGAATGGACCAAAGGCCGTTTGACATGAATGGATTGGGCCTGAGGCTGTCTGATGTGTTTGGAACTGCAGTCACCTGCCCTATGTATATCTATATATATATATTAGATAGAATATGAATTGGGCCCAAGGCCGTTTGTCGTATATTGTTCTAGTGTATCTTCTTTATTCGATATTATTCACTGGGCTTTCGCTCACGCTCATTCATGTGTCTGTAGGTGAGCCAAGGGAGGTCCAAACTCAGCCTCAGTGAAGTTGTGTGGAACAACTAAGGTTTTGAAGAGTCAGCCCATATGTCTCACACACGAGACCTGTTTTCGCCCTTTTGCTATTTCGTTATATTTTGTCATGTTGGCGAGAACTTTGGATTACTTTTGTATATAGTTTTGATTGGCTGACTTAGACTTGAATGATCCTGCATGTACAGAACCTTGTGTTACTACATATTTTGATATGAGTTATTAACATGTATATGTATGGATTGTTATGATGTGCCATGTAAGCACAGCTCTATGGACAAAGTTTTAAATTTTGCTTCCTTTTGGCCCCTTTACTCTGATGACTTATGTCTGGTTTGGTTTGAGGCCGTAGGTAATCTCAGGATTACTGGCCGGTTATGTCCTTAACCCATGGGGGCAGGTTCGGGTCATGACACTAACCTCCCTCTCTCTCTAGATTTCCCCTTTCCTAGAGTTACCCAACAATCCTTGCAAATTTTTTCCTTAAAACCCTTTCAAATCTCTACATTTTAAATCGAACAAAATTTGATTTGGTGGAGTTTTGGGATTTCTCTTGGCTTTTTTGACATTTTACCCACACTTTTTCTCTCCCCCTTTGATTTTTCATTCTCTCTTTGTCTTCTCTCTCATAGTTTTTTTTTTTTTTTGAATTTTCACTCAATCTCACTTACCTCCTCAGTTTTTTGCACATTTTCTCATTTTTCCTCATACATCCCCATGGCTAGCGATGAGGTTCCCATTCTTGACCTAGTTGTGGGTATTGGTGCCATCTTAGGTGTAGATATAAAGGCCGAGGACGCTCCTGCGTTGCCTTTCCTTGCCGATAGGCCATTCGACTCAGCCACCTACCAGCCGCATACACATACTGACCCCAGGTGGTATCTTGAGATTCAAGGGCCTCATCCCAGGGATAGATAAGGATATCTTGCTGTGAGAGCTAGCGGAGCACTTGTCTGCTGATGCTTCTACGGTAAGTAATCTTTCCTTTCTTTTGCACATATATTGAATTTCATAAGCAAACTACTCATCAATGCTGTACACGTATTGATAACATTCCCCATTTATAGGTGATAGCCAGGAGGATTGGCTGTTATGGGTCCACATCTAGTCATCAGTACTAGTATGAGAGGCTTCCCGTGGAGGTCCGCACACGGGTCGATGCTGCAGGCTTTGGGCCTTTCTGTTCAGGGCTCATATTGATGAGGGTTGAGCCACTGCTCTACGGAGCCTTGGTAGAGAAATGGTGGGACATCACTGACTCGTTCCATTTCTCGTCGATTAGTGAGCTGACCCTAACTCCATATGACTTTTCGATGCTTACTGGGTTGCCGGTCGGAGTTGGTGGCCCGACCCCATTTGATCCCGATATGACGCGGTGGAGAACCGCATAGTGCCAGCTTCTTGGGGCGATCCCAGACACCACCAACCACAAGATGGTGAGGTACAGTTGGTTCTTTGATCACTTCTCCGACTTTTAGCCAGCTACTTCACATGAGGTCACTCAGTACAATCGTGGCTTCCTTATGTATCTCCTCGGTACTACCCTATTTGCAAATAGGGAAAATACCGTGGGGTTATATCTCTTGGGAGCACTGGTGCACTTACCACAGGTGGCAGAGTATGACTGGGGTGGCGCCGGCTTAGCCACCTTGTACTGCTACATGAGCTCCATATCCCGTTAAAAAGCGGATACACTTGGCGGCTACTAGAGGGTTTGGGAGGTACACCTCATACTTACTTTCTATTTAGCTTTGCATTATGTTCAACTTTGCATTTCTTTTTTTGTTCATCTGCTCAGTTACTTTATCCTTATCTTTCTGCTTGCAGCTATGGATTTACTCGTATTTTACCTCCTTGGCTCTGGTCCCAGTGAGGCCGATCGAGTTGTCAGTACCCCGTTCGCAGTACTACAACTCTTGATTTGAGCGATGCCGCCGCATAGACCGAGACTTCCCTTACTCTTTCCGTTTCTTTGACACAATCACCATAGATCAGGTAACAAAATATTAACCTTTAACTTTTACATACTATGTGCACACTACACTATTTCCCATACTACACTGTTTTTGTACTGTAATGTTTTCATACTGCACTGTTTCTATTTTGCACTGTCATTCTCATATTGTGTTTCCATACTGCTTAGATCTTTGACATCTGATATTTGCTTCCACAGGTTGACCGGCACCCTTAGGCGGGTATCCTTCAAACGGCGAAGACAACCTACGTTGCTGCATGGTACGCCTTCGCCATGCAGATTCTGTTTGAGTGCCCATTCGGCATGGCATATCATTTAGGAGTTCATCCGTTAGACATGAGGCGTAGTTGATCCTGACATTTCCCATTCTCTTCTTTCCGACATGAGGGTAGTCGATGATCTTTGTGGTGGACCCCATATCAACTTCTTGATGCTGGGGGAGGATGGTGATCGATACCACGGGCCCGGCGACTTCACTACTTTCTTGTAGACTCAAGTGATGGCGCCTCTTACTCAGGGCGTACCCCGTGCCATTCCAGAGGTTGTTGCTGCTACTGCTAGAGGCACTCTTGCCGCCGCTCCCGAGCTTTCTATTATTCCAACTAAGGTTGTATACATACGGCCAGATAGGGTGATCGAGCAGATCCCTTTTGAGCACATTGAGGAGAGGGATCGCAAATTGGTGATCGCTCCTGGCATTGAGCAGGTACACATTTCTTTATATGTCAGTTCACTGTACTTTCCGCTGTCCTTCATTATTTTCTGCCCGTTATGCTTTATTACTTGATGTCCACCGTGCTTACTTTCTACCCACTATATTACATTGTCTTGTCTCATATTCTCAAATCCTTTGTAGGTGCCCGTAGGATATGTGGATAACCTCCTCCAGACAGTTGATTGACTGCGCCTGATGGTTCAGAGGAGACAGACCGCTCTAGTTACCCATGGGATCGAGGTACACTTTGCCCTTAGTTTACGGTTATTACAAACTTGCTCATAACTTTGTTGATCTCTTCTGATATCTGTAATCTTTCTTTTTCCTTTCTTCTTTCAGCTTGAGCTAGCACCAGTTGCACCTGTAGGACCTCCTCTAGCTAGGAGACGAAAACAGAGACAGAGATGGGGCTCAGTGAGTGGCAGGGGAGGAGCTGACCGAGGGAGAGGTAGAGTGAGACAGCGCTCACCTCCCGAGGAGTCTTTTGAGGAGTACACGACCTCCGAGGAGGAGGGAGAGGCGGTCGACATACGGTCCAGCAGTCCCAGTGATGACAGTAACGCACCTCATCCGCAGCCGAGGAGGAAGAAAGAAAGGATAGATTATTGATTTTTTTTTCCCTTTCTCTTTTGCTTTGTAGTTAGGAACTATAGCTTCAGATAGACCTATGTATTTTGTTTTTGAAGACTTTTCTTTTGTTTTTGGTCTTTGTAAATAATGATTGGGGTTGGACCTAGTAGTTTATAAAAAGACAGATTTTTACAGTGATCTTCTCGCATGATATGTGATGAATGAATGGCACTTTCATGATACTCTTGTACAAGATTGTTACCAACTGTGAATGCTTGCACTTGAATTGATTCTTGAATCGGATAATAACTTACAACCGGTTAAAATATAAAATACAACTCGATAACACAAAAATGAAATGAAAACAACTCGAAAATACTAAAAAACACTTGGTATAAATAAAATAGGATTCAAAATACAGTCATTGTACATCGAAGCAGAGGTCAGCACTTTGCTGCAACTGCACTGACCTAGGCCAACATTTAGACCCGACCGGGTCCAAATAGGCATGGCCGGGCTTTAATGAGGCACGGCTGGGCCCCAAAATGAGGTCGGTCAATCCTGTCTAGCTGTTATGCACTGCTCCTTCTCAGAGTATATAAAAGGTGCTTCTATGCTATGTTTCTGGTAGAATAACCAGTCCTTGGTATTTTGTTCTCAAGATGGAGACTCTTCTCAACAATAGGCTCTGAGATTGGATAGCTACTTTGGATGGCTCGAAAAAGGTGAACTTTCACAGTTTTGGCCTAAACGCTCTTTTTCCTCTGAGCCGTACTGCTCTTTATTTTCCATTCCTCTACGTCGCTGCTCGATGCCGGAACCCGATCACACATGTGTTTTACTTCAGATCACAGGAGATGTGTTCGATGATCGAAGAATTTCAAGCATTGATGGAATCCTGACGTAACGAAAAAATTACACCTCAGCCTCGTTTTGGCTATGCCCAGGCTTTGGGACGGATGTGCGGGTTTTCAACACATGAGACTCGGTCCTTAGCCCATGATGGGGAGCTAGACATCTCTGGCTTAGTTCATCGATTTTCTGCTATTGGAGACAAGAGTGACCTTCTCTGGCGAGGTTATCGGCAACATGCTCTCTGTTTATGTTTGCTTCCGCAATTCCTTCTTGCCCCTAGTTTCGACGGAGCCAACATTCGGTTGATTGAAGTAGCCCAATGTCTGAAAGAGGGTAAGAGTTGCATGGGCCTGGCCCTGGCCGAAATCTTGATGGGTTTGGATGTATTTCATCGACGAGAGACTATCCACTTTGCAGGGAGTCCGTTACTTCTTCAGGTATTGCCTCCCACTCTGTTAATTTATAATTCTCATATCACTCGACACTCAATCTCTGTTTTTCTTTCAAAACCTCTTCCTTACTTTTCCCTCATCGTACACCTCTATATTCTTTAATCTCTCTTATTTTTCATCCCTCCCCAGATATGGCTTATGGATAAACTGCAAGTAGTGGACCCTTGCCTCGAGTACTTGGCCAGAGCTTACTTCTTTTACCAACGACAAGTGGATTTCCCTTCAGAAGGATTGTGGTGTGATTGGATGTGCAGTAGATTTGTAGCTGACATAACTTGGCGTTGCCCCTGGATTGCTTTGACTGAGATGAGCTACAACATGTCTCATCAGCCGGGTATGCAGTTGATTGGCCTCACACACTGCCTGTTCTATTTCCCCTTCTGGTTCAGACACCAGTTTGGACATGAGCAGACATGTCCAGATGAGGAGGTGGAATACCCTGCTTCATTTCCCATTCGTGGTTTACACTTGCCTCGATATCTTACTGCTTGGAGGACGAAGGAGCTTCTAACCCCTGCCCCTAGCTTCAGTTACGCCCTTTCTGGCAAGTGTTTAGCTTAGCTTGAAGACGAAGAACAAGTTGGGCCATCTTTAGCTGCGGAAACTTCCACGAGTGCAAACAGAAGACATAGAGCTACCTGACTTGACTGTGCCCCTAGTTTTACTGCTTTGATCTTTTTTTTCAAGTTTATGTAAAAGCAACTTTGATCTAAATCAAAGAGTTGGAGAATGTACTTGTGTCGAATTAATAAAATTAAAGTTGCGAGTACTAAATTTTTTTCTTTTGGTCCCAAAAATGGTCCAAGTTGTAAAAGGGTAAAATTTTGAGAAAAAAATAAGCTTTTATTAAAACTTTTCAAAATTGTCTCTGGAAATGGTCATTACGTGACACACTCAAAACTCATCCTCAAGATGTACAACCCCAAATCAACAAATCACGACTGCCCATAACCGTATCCATTATATCGGGCCTTCTACCAATATAAAGATTACACAATCGTGCTAACCAACAATGGAAAAGGATAGCCTGATTAAATATGAATGAATAAGATTGTTGAATTGGAGATGGTTATGGCCGAACTTCGGGATGAAGTTGCCTACATATTCCAAAAATGGGAATCAGGCCTTACGTAGTTCGGTTCAGGTTCACTTGAGTATTAACTCTCTTTTTTTGGCGCTCTAACTTTTGCCAAAGTCACCTTTTGGGGTTTTCGGCCTTGTGAGCTCAGTTTTTCTTTATTTCTAATTTTTCATACGCTAACTTTTGTTTAGGTCACCCTTTTGGGTTTTCGGCCTTGTGAGCCTCTCAAGGGTAATATTTCTTCAACTTGTCCATATTGATCGGTTGTGAAAACTCCAAGCCATCCAAGTCCACGAGAATAATCGCCCCTCCTGACCAGATTGACTTGATGATATAAGGACCAGTCTAATTGGGTCTGAACTTGCCCCTAGGGTCATGTAGGGATGGCAATTTAAACCCGGTCCGACGGGGACCCGATCCCCCGACCCCGATTGGGACGGTTTTTCCCCGAAATTTATCCCCATAGGGCCGGGGATGGTATTAAAAATCTGATCCCCGATAATTTTCGGGCCGGGGACGGGGATAGATTTCCGAACCCCGGCCCCGGCCCGGCCCCGCCCCGACTCGTCCCCGACTGACCCCGTATAATTATTATAATATATATATATATATATTATATGTTTAGGGTTAGGGTTATTATAATATGTATATTATATTATATGTTAGGACCTCTGCCTCAGACTTTAGTCTGTCTGTCTCTCATCTCTCTCTCCCTCTCTCTCTCTCTCAAAGCCTCCCCTCCCTCCGATCTCCCTCCTTCCCTCCGATCTTCATCCCTCCCTCCGATCTCCCTCCTTCCGACCTCACTGCCTCACCCCGATCTCCGTCACTGCCGCCCTCCAATCTGCGTCTGGGATGCTGCTGAGAGTCGTCCACAACGCCGATCCTCGTCCTCGACACCGATCGTCCTCTGCGCGACGCCGATCATCCTCTCCGCAACGCCGATCCTCCTTCGTCGTTCAAACTGATTTTTGTATGTGTATGTTACATGTGTTTAGACAGTATGTATATATACAGATTTTTTATTTTTATTACACAGGTATAAATACATACACAGTATGGTGTTGTATATAGATTGGTACATGTATGGTGTTGAAACAAATTTTTCTATGTATATATATTACACAGCATGTGTTGAAACAGATTTTTTTATTTTTATTTTTATTTTTTTTTTTGGAACGATTATGCTGTTGTTGATGTTGTTGATGGTATTGTTGACCATAACAGATTTGGGCCGGGGAATTTTCGGGGTCGGGGAACCCCGATCCCCGTTAGGGGACGGGGATGGGAACGGTGATAGGATCCCCGTCGGGGATCGGGGCCGGGGACGGGGAGACATTCTCAATCGGGGATCGGGGACGGGGAGGGTAATCCCCGGCCCCGCCCCACCCGTTGCCATTCCTAGGGTCATGGATGGGAGCCCGGTTGTCTTTCAGTACCATGTCTCCCTCCTTGAGATTCCTGGACTTAACTTTCTTGTTAAAAGCCCTGGCAATTCAGCGTTGGTAGCCTTGGACATGATACAATGCCCTAAGTCTTCTCTCATCAAACAACATTAACTCCTCGAATCTGCTGCCAATTTGTCTTTGCTATCTAACACTCGGCCATAACCCGCAGCGACAACACTTTAATTCCAATTGGCAAAGCAGCCTCCATCTCATAGATGAGAGAATAGGAGGTTACCCCTGTAGATGTTCGGATTGAGGTTCTGTAGCCCTATAGTGCAAATGGCAATTTATCCGGCCAGTCCCTGTAGGTCTCGATCATTTTTCGTAGGATATTCTTGATATTTTTGTTCGCGGCCTCAACAGCTTCGTTGGTCTGTGGTTTGTATATTGATGACTTGTGGAAAGCCACATTATATTTCTCAAGCAGATCCAACGCCTCTTTCTTGAAGTACGAGCCATTATTAGAAATAATCTCGTTTGGAACCCCATATCAGCAGATGATGTTGTTCTTAATAAACTTAGCCACATGTGATGTTTTCAACACAGAATAGGACTGGGCCTCCACCCATTTAATAAAGTAGTTGATTGCTACCAGGGTGAACTCATGCCCATTTGATCCCTTTGGTGTGATTGCATTGATAACGTCGATTCCCCAGACTAAGAAAGGCCACGGTGAAGTCATATTATAGAGCTTAGATGGTGGTATGTTCATACGATTGGCATGAATTTGGCATTTATGGCATCGCCGAACAAAACCAATACGATCCTCTTCCATGGTTGACCAGTAGTAGCCTTGTCTAAGGATTTTCCGGGCTAACATCACATTGTTCATGTGGGCTCCACACTCTCCTCTGTGGATAGCCTCCATAAGGTGCTTTGATTCCTTTTCCTCCACGCATAGCTTATGCATTCCTAGACGGCCTCTTTTATATAGTTTATCCCCACAGATGATAAATTGGACGGCCAGACGCCGTATTCCCCGTTTGTCCTTGGCATTTGCCCCTAGTGGATACGTCTCTTTTTCCAGAAAGTTCCAAATATCGTAATACCTAGGGTTTTTGTCTTGCGCTTCATCTATTGCTGCGACGATCTGGTAAGCACGCTTATACTTCTGCTCAATAATGATTGGACGCATCTTTACTCCCAGCGGGATGTCTACCATAGAAGATAGAGTTGCTAATGCATCAACGAACTGGTTGCTCTCTCTCAACAAATGTGTAAATGTCAGTTTTTCAAACCTAGGACCTTCCAATCCCCATTAGCTTGAGAGATAGCCAAATTCGAATCTCCAATGACGTCCAACCTTTTTGCCCCTAGTTCT